AAGAGAAGGGAAGAGAGATAGAAGAGAGGACAGACTAGGGGAAGGGATATTCAGAATGTATGCTGTCTTGGGGTGGGGGGAGGGGGGGTGAAAATTTGGAACTCAAAAACTTGTGGAAGTGAATGTTGAAAACTAAAAATAAATAAATTTATATTAAAACAAAAAAAAAGTCGAATGCACAGATCAAGTTCGATGGTGGTCCTACCTTGCTCTGCTTTGGTAAGACTACTATACATTATGTTCCTTTATGGACACCACATTTGAGGAAGGGAATGGAGAAGTTGTAGAATATTCAGGGAAGGCTGACAAGAATGATGAAGGGACTCAAGAATATATTATATAAAGATTATCTAAAGTAATTGAAGATGCTCACCCTAGAACAACAGACTTAGGGAGAACATGATAGCTACCTTCAATAATCTATTTTTTTCATATGGAAACAAGATTAGACTTTTTCTGTCTGGCCTCAGAGGGCAGAACAAAAAGCAGCAGGTAGAAGGTTGTACTGAGGAAGATAAATTAAAAACACATAAACTAAAACTTAAATGAATTATAAAATAAACAAAATGAAAATTATCTCATAATTAGAGCTCTTAAAATGAATAGGTTTCCATTGGAGACATTTAAAAAGAGGTTTACTGACCATAAATCAAGGATGTTGTAAAGAGGATAGCTGCACAAATATTAGTGAGATTATTTTTATTTTTGCTTTTGTTGTTGTTGTGGCAATCGGGGTTAAATGTCCTGCCCAGGGTCACACAGCTAGGACGTGTCAAGTGTCTGAAGTTGGATTTGAACTCAGGTCCTCCCAACTTAAAGGCCAGAGCTCTATCCACTGTGCCACCTAGCTGCCCCATATTAGTGATATTATTGTGACTCCCAAATTTCTATTTCCATCCTTGACTTTTATCCTGTGCTCCAGATCCAAAGTTAATACGGGTCACAGAACATGTCCATGTGTATGTCCTTCCTGAACCTAAAAATTGGTATGTCTAAAACCAAATCCATTATATCCCTTAAAATCTGTTCTTTTTTTTTTTTGATGTCACTATATCTGTCTTTGACAGCCATTTACTTAATGTTTTAATTTCAAAATTTGGGATTTATCTTTAGTTTTTCCTTCTTTTAGTTACTAAATACTTTAACTTCTATTTCTACAGAGACAGAGATAGAGCAACTAGGTCATGCAGTAGATAGAGAGCTGAACTTAGAAGTCTTGAGTTCAAATTTGACCTCAGACACTTCCTAGCTGTGTGACTCTGAACAAGCCAATTAATCTCTCTCTGACTTAGTTTCCTCATATGTGAAATGGGGATAATAATAGTATTTAGCTCCCAGGGTAGTTATAAGGAGAAAATGAGATATTTATAAAGCATTTTGCAAACTTTAAATCACTATATAATTTCTGGCTGCCCATCACGATAATAATCATGATCATAATCATCAAGATCATCATCATCCTTTCTGTTATATATTTTGTCTCCATATGCTTCTATTGCTCTTGCACCACCTTATTGTAGGCTTTCATTACCACTCATATGCAACATTAAAATAGCTTTCCAGTAGATCTTTTTTTTTATTTTCTCTCCACTACAATCAATTCTTATCACTGACAGATTTATCTTTCTTATGCATTCTTCTGGTCATTTCACTCATCTGCTCAAAATATAAATAGTAGATTTGGAGTTGAGTTAGAATCTTAAACTCTACTTACTACATCTCTGGGCTTTTTTCAAATCTGTAAATTGGAGGAATTGGACTATATTCAAGGCTCATCACAGACTTGGCCATCCTTTCTTTCTCATGTTGCTTCATATATGTGTTGTATGCTACAATCAGGCCAAACCACTAGCTCCTGAAAAACATGCCCTGTACTTTTTCATCCCTATTATACTTTTGGCTCAAAATATTTCCTATGCCTAAAATTACCTCTTCCTTCCACCTACACTATGTACCACCTATTGAATTCTGGTATATTTTTGAATGTTCAACCAAAATATTATCTCTTCCATGAATCCTTGCAGTATGGGCCTTCCTCCCTTTGAATAAAATAGAGTCCTTTGCTTTCATGTATTTTTTCTACTCTGTTTTGGTTTTTTATCCTGCTACAAGATGATGAGTGTAATGAGGGTGGGGACCATGTCATACTTAGAATTTCTATTTCCCCTACTCCTTAATATACTGCTCTACCCACAGCAGGCATTTAATAAGTGTTTGCTTAATTGAAAAAAATGAATCCGAGTTATTCAGAGAGAAGTTGAAGATGGAAGGGATGAAATGGAAAAATATAGCTATTTTGTGGAACAAATTGTGCACCTTTCTTATAAAATTTCAATACTAAAAATTTTTAGCTTTAAATTATATGAAAAAATCATTCATGGGAGGATTTTATTTTCTTATAAAACTATTTCCAACCCTCAAGTATCATATGGATTTATGTAGATTTTTTATTTTAACTTGACAATTGTAACTCTTAGACATATATTGTAAATGAACAATGAATTGGACCTAGAATTGAATAGTATGAGAAGAATGGGCTGGATTGCCTTTGAGAAATTGCAAAGTCCTTTTAATGACCCTGAAATTCCCCCTAAACCAAATTCTCATCTCTTTAATACCAAATATTCTTTTGAATGTTGTATGGCAGAAAGTAACAGGACATTCCAAAATCCAAAAAAAAAAAATTAAAGTAGAGGCTGATTCTGAGGACAACAGAGAGGCAGATAGTAGGCATATGCAGGCTACATTATATGACAAACATGAAATTCCTTACAACAGAAATATCATAAGACACATCATCAAAAAGTATGATTGAGAAATAACACAGGTTGATCATATAGTGAAAATAAGTGATAACTAACAAATAGCTTACATGCTCCATAGGCTCAAGGAAGGACCTTAATATGTCAGGTGGATGCCCTGTGTAGATCATACAGAAGGACATGGACAAGAATCTTTTTTGTTTTGTTTTCCTTTGGTGAGGGAATTGGGGTTAAGTGACTTGCCCAGGGTCACACAGCTAGTAAGTGTTATGTGTCTGACGCCAGATTTGAACTCAGGTTCTCCTGACTTCAGGGCTGGTGCTCTATCTACTGTGCCACCTAGCTGCCCCAACAAGAGTCTTAAATTGATAAGTTGCAATCTACATCACTGGAGAGAAGACTTCTTATTAATGTGATCCACCTCATGGAGTAATAACATAATCTATCAAGAGAATTTTGAACTTATAGGACTGAGAGATTCAATTTCAAAATAACTGAAAGCATTTTCAGGCAAAAGTCTAGCATGTGAAAGGTGGTAGGACTTTAAGTATGATGTTACAACAATAATTGTCCCAAACCAAAAGCCTAGCTTCCAGGAGTCTGGATCCAGGTAAAAGAAGAATCCAATAAAGAAGATCCTGGAGACCTAGAGCAATCAGCCTCTTAATCAGTTGAGAAACCAAAGCCCCCTTTGAGTCTGTAGCCCAGCAAAAGGCTACACAAATTCTGTCTACAAGAAACAGACACAAAAGGTTATTGAACACATAGAGATGCAGTCACTGAGCCAGGGGATCACTGACATCTTTGATTTGCCTGGACCTTTAAGACTAGGAACATCTGCAAAGGTGGGATTGGCCAGGGAAAATCTAAGTCATCCTATGCAAAGACTGCAATTCATCGAAAACTTCTCTCATAAGAAGCTCTTTTGGGTGGCATCTGGGACCCCAGTCTATTTCTACTCCATCTGCTTCAGTTTTTTATTGTACACACAGCTTCTCTCACTCACTAATCCATCTTCTTAATCCCCTTTGTGATACCACTTTGGTCTGCTACCCCAACTGATCCTGTTGTATGCCCCTATCTGGGACCAAGGCCTTATTGCTTGTCTTGCCAGTGATCTAACCAGTTTTGATCTTGTTCCTTCTCCCTGCTTCTCATGTAAAGTACTCTGTTTCAACTATCTCACCAGTCAGTCTTTCTATCCTAATTGAATTTTTATCAACCCAACCTCAACAAAAAAGCAACAACAATTCAATTCTATTAGAAATGATTAATGATTAATTAGAAATGATTAAAGGAAAGGGGGTAAGGGGCAATTTTCTAAGTTTTGCAAGTATAGAGACAGGGAAAATCTGACTGCATGACAGAGAGGTGAAGAGAAATATTCCAAAGCTGGGATGGTACTAATTTTTGTTTTTGAAATTTCTGGGAAGAAAAAAGTAAATCACTTTGTAAAGAGTACAAGGGGTTGGACTAGATGACCCTTTTTACTAGATCCCTTTCAATTTCTGGATTCTGTAATTCTAAGTCCCAGTAGGACAGTTAATTGTAGAGTGCTATAGGACTGACTGCCATCTTAGCTGAGGCTTCAATGCATCCTAGGCATCCAAAAAATCACATTAGAATTTGGAGGGGAATTAAAGATAATCTAATCCAATCCCTTAATTGTACAGAATTGGAAGCTGAGGCTTAGAGAAATTGATTTGCCATCTGTTAAGTGACTTAATGATTCTTAATCTCTTCCTTATAAAAGATATAGTCTATGATTTGTGATTCTGTATATGATGAATAGATTTCTAATTTCATAAAGGAAGTCAACAGGAAAATAGAATTAACATTATATTTATAGTAAATTTTTATGAAATGCACTTGCTCTTTAAATGAAGAAATATGTTTGTCATTTACCGTCTTTAGTAATATGCACTTGAAATTGTTCTAATAAAGAAAATTAATAATATATATATATACACCAGAATTATAAAAATATTTTTCCACAATCCAAGAATAGCCTTAATATCATTAAAATAATTTAAAATAATTTAAAGATCAGAACTTTTTTAAATGCATCCCAGATGGAGTTCAACATTCAAATATTAGAAACTTTCATTATAAATCTAAATAGCAAAGGGTTTCAGAATGCCTTTCTCACTATTTGACAAATTTTCATTGTGAAGAGGCAAAAAGTAAATAATCTCCTTGCCTTCTTTAGATCTAAACAGTGCTGAACATGACTCATACCTCCAATGACCCCTTTTTCTTTGATCAACTCTGTTGTGCCACTGGATGGATTAGATGCCATCACCTTGGATGTATTAATAGATTCCAACAGGGAGACAAATTCTAGAAAATTGGATTCATTTGGAATTTGCCCTTCCTTAGCCTCCAGGTCAGATTTAGAAGTTGGCAATGTCTTCTCCTTATCACTTGAGAGTTCTGTGGGAGTTTTACTTAATAGAACATCTGTCCCACTATCCACACTGAGGACACGGGCATGTCTTTTTTCATGGGCTGTTTTACAAGATGATGGGTCAAGACTATCTTGCCCTTCTTTGTCCACTTCCATTTTGCAAGTCAGATTAGATGCCACCGGAGGAGTTGTTTCCAAATCGCCAGTTGGGGTAACATTGCATTCCTTTGCTGCGTTGTCCAGCTCTCCAGATTCATAGCCAGAGCACGGATTAGAAGAAATGTCCACCATTAATCTCTCTGGAGTCTTTTCTCTTTCACTGATTTCTGGACAAGCATTACCTTCACCATCTTCTGACAATTCAAAGGTGATCACAGGAATTCTGATCTGTTCATTGCTTTGAGGATGGGTTACATCTGTGACAGATGGGTGAGCATCTGGTCTTGTTCCCATTTTCTCTGTGCCATTCACTTTCAAATGTAGAGAACTTTCTAATTCAGTCATGGAGTTGGGAGTACTGCTCATTGTGATAACTATTTTGATGGGTTCATGCAAACTCAAAGGGTCTCCAGGGAGAGAACTATCAACAAGAGTGATGGCAACCTCACTGTCAGAACAGTCAGCTTCCTCATTTAAAGATTGATCTGCCTGACAGGAACTGTTCACGGGTTCTTCCTCTGCCTGTTTGTTGATGACAGTGTTACACTGAGGACAGCTACTGCTCAGGCTGTCCTGAGGGGATCTGCTTTGTAATTGTTCTCCTTTGGAACCCTTTGACTGGCTTAAAGGTTCTGTGATTAGCACTGAATTCTCACTTCCCCAGGGCTGTAAAGCAATACCAGTTCCTAGTACATCACATTGAGACAAGGAGAGATGTGGTAACTTTTTCATCACCTCTTTGCCCACCAAAACATCCTCTGATCTGTGGTGGTGAGGAGGCTGTACCTTTTCTTCTTTTCCTCTTGTTTCATTATTGATCACTGTTTCCATGGCAACTGGCTTCACTAATATTGCTGCTGTAGTCATGGTATCTGACATGTTTGCTGTAGAGACAGGTAAATTTTCTGTCTTGATACATGGTGAGGTAGATGACATTGGTGCTACAGGCTGATCTTCTGATAGAATGACACCTGGAATAGACAAACACTCTTGTCACCAGCAGTGCGCACTGAAAAGTCACTGACCAGCACCTGAAATGCATAGTATCCCAATGCATCAAACACTAATGAAAAGTAAAAATAAACTAGCTTCAAAGACAGGTGAGAGCTTGAAATGGAGGAGAGAAAAGCCTCCATCATGCAGCTGCTTTAAAATTACAATCTTTAATTTCATTCCAGACACCCAATTTCGTACCTTATGCCACTTGGTTTTTGTTTCATGGCTGAATCTGAAGGAGAATAATTATGACTTGCAAATTTGTATAAATGTTTCATGGAGCATCGAAAGCACTTTCACATATGCTAACAAACACATTTCTGTTGGTGATGAAAACTGCCTAAAACCAAATTTATTTCTTTCCCCCAAAAGCCAGTTTTTCCTGCTGAATAGAAAATTCTATGACTATAAATGGTGCTATTATTCTCCTAATCTCCCAAGTGTAATACCTAAGTATCTTCATACATTCTAATCTCTCCCTTGAGCTCTACCAAGCACTTTAAATTCTTTCTTCAGGATATTTCTCAGATTTGTCCTTTTGCTTCTTTTTCCTCTACTACCATCTTAGTTCAATTGAAATAAATAATAAGAAGTGAACAGCCAACAAGGCACAAATCAACTGCCAGTCTTGGAGTCAGAAATACCTGAATTTAAGTCTGCTTCTGACATTCTAGCTGTGTGACCACAGGTAAGTTATTTAACCCCTCAGGGAACTAAATACAGTTATCTCTTCCACATGAAAGTGGTTAAGGGTGTGGCGCCTCTAGGATCTGGAAAAACCATATAAAATTTTTTGGCCCTCTCTTCATGGCACAGAAATAGTCTGAATTTTTTCCTTTTCTTGTTATGAGGTGTTTGCAATGTCTTATTGTAAAATTTGGGTTGATATTATATAATACTATACATATATTTTATGCATTTCTGAGTTTCTAAACTTTTTGTGTCATCAGCTGGCTTTTGCATGTTGTCTGCAAAATTTCTAACAAATTCCCATTTAATTTCTTATGATGATTTGTGATATATAGAAACCATGATGGGGAAAGTTGCAATGTGGAAGGGATAACTATAATTCTTTAAGACTCTAAGTTGTTGATTAGTTGACAATTTAAATCAGTTGAGGAGGTTTCCATACTTGGAGTTCCCCACACTGATTAAATCACAGGTTTGGTAACAAAAACTCAAAAGACAGGCTTTAGAACTTTAAGTTCACAAATCACTTTACGTAAATTATGTAGTTACATAGATCTTATACACGTTATATAAGCTTCAAAATAACTATGGGAAGTCCTACAGACATTAATAGTCCTATTTTACAGGTAAAGAAACTGAGGCTCAGAGAGGTCAAATCTCTTGCCCATTTAGCTGGTGGCAGAGATTGGATATGAACCCAAATTTCCTGACTACAAGTTCAGCACTCTCCCTACCATAATATATTTTATAGAGTACTTATTATAGGCAAGGTGCTATCCTAGGTACTGAATTTCAATACCATCTCCTAATATTTCAAATGGATTGGATTCATTATCTCTAGTCTATTCCTCTTAGAATTTATGTTGTACCTTGATTCCAGATTAATATTTATAAATTAAAATTAAAACACTACTTCAATCATCTCCCTCTCCTGAACAAAACCATTCAATGCCTCCCTGTTTCCTATAAAGTCAAACTCCTTAGCTTAGCAGTTAAAGTCCTTCACAGTTTTGCCCCTATCTTTTCAGTATTATCTCCCACTACTCCTCTAAATATCTTCTCCACTATAGCTGTGTGACCACAGGCAACTTATTTAACCCCTCAGTGAACTAAAAACAGTTATCCCTTCCACATGGCAGTGGTTAAAGGTTCAGCACTGTTCTAATAGTCTTCCACCCTCCCCAAATGTGTTGGTTTTTTGTACCTTTGAGCATGTTATTTCTTTTACATGGAATTTATTTTCTTCATCACTTCTCTATCACCTGCTGATATGTAATCCATTTAGTGCACAGTTGAAACCTTATTTCCATCATTAAGATTTTCCTAGATAACAAATTCCCATTCTCTCTCTCTCTCTCTCTCTCTCTCTCTCTCTCTCTCTCTCTCTCTCTCTCTCTCTCTCTCTCTCTCTCTCTCTCTCTCTCTCCTCTCTCTCCCTCTCTCTCTGTGTGTCTCTCTCCCTCTCTTTCTCTCTCTCTCCTTCTCTCTCTCCCTCCTCCTCCTCCTCTTCCCTATTTCCCCCCTCCCCTAAAATCCTAAATCCTTTATTATTTGTAGGATATCACTTGGCATTTACATAATACTGGAGGCATGTGTTTTATATCACTAATTAACTTATAATCAATCAACAACCATTTATTAAGGACTTACAATGTGTCAGGAACTGTTCTAGGTTCTGAGCACATAAAGACAAGGAAATCCTCTTATTCTTCCCTCATTTTAAATACCTAGAGGGCAAGGACTGTGTTTTATTATTTTTTTGTCAGCTACTCCTACTTATCTCTGATACTACACCCTAGGTGTGAGGGAAGAAAATACTTTAGAAATCATGTTCTGAGCAAGATGTTGTATTTTGGTGTTGCTTTTTGCCTTACTTTGTATCTCAAGTGCTTAGCACAGGTCTTGGTCCATAGTAGTTTTTTAATCATAATAATAACTAAACATTTATATAGCATTTACTATGTTCCAAGCACTATGCTAAGTGTTTTACAAACATTATCTCATTTGATCCTCATGTGTGCTAGCTGCTATTATTATTCCAGTTTTACTGATAAGAAAATTAAGGCAAACAAAGTTAAATGCATTGCCCAGGGCCACATAAGCTAGTAAGTGTCTAAAGCCATATCTGAACTCAGGTTTTCCTGATACCAAGTCCAGTGCTCTATGCAATGTACCATCTACCAAATTAATTATTATTAAATTTTTCTTATCAATGCTTATCAATAATTAATAATAGATAGTTGTCCACTTGTTGGCTTGACATGTGAAGTAAGCAAAATTTGTGGACAAAATATAATTATGGGACACAATCTTAGCTAACTGACCCAATCCAATGAACAAAAGGACTAGTGTAAATTCTATTGAACCTCTTCCAGAAAACACAACCACACATACACAATGATGCCCTATTGTTCATATCTTAAGGGAAGAACACACAGAATCCACACAAAATCACATAGAATGCAAGATCATTATGAGAAGCCAATAGCACTGTGGAAGCTGGAGCTACTTCTGACTCAGTCCCAATTTGTCTTCTCTTCTAAGTACCTAAATGATGGTGCAAAGCAACTAATCTAAACAGTCACCAGTGACAGTGAAACTCTACCATTGTCTTTTAAGTACCACCTTCAATCATTGTCCTATATCACAACTGAATATCACAACATTCATTCACTTAAACATCCATTCAACAAACACTTATTAAGCACCTACTATCTACAGAGCATTGTCCTAGCCACTAACAGGGGAGATTTAGATTTTAAATAAAGTATGGTTCCTTTCCTAATGAAGGTTACAGTCTAGAAGCTGGCTAAGTCACAAAAATGGATAACTGTAATATAAAATGTTTCATGAAAAGTGCATTAAACTTCAGAGGACTTTATAGTGAAACATATCTCCTGTGTCTCAGGAGAGAGGTATTGGACAATACATGCAGGGAGGCTATGTTGATTTGTTTTGTTTCACTGTTCTTTGTTATAAGGGGGCATTCTAATTGGGGGAATGTAGGCCTTGGGAAGGAAAGTGATGTAAAAAAGGTGGCATTAATAAAAGATTCTTTAAAAAGAAAAGTGAATTAGAACTTCGTTCTGCACCTTTATATGTGAGAGCCAGGCTTAACCTAGGAAATGGCATTTTACTTGTGCTTTAAAATAGACACAGCTAAGTGGTACAATGGATAGAGCACCAGCCCTGGAGTCAGGAGGACCTGAGTTCAAATCTGGCCTAAGACACTTAACACTTACTAGTGTGTGACCTGGGCAAGTCACTTAACCTCAATTGCCTCACAAGAAAAAAAAATGGATAAAAATTCGATAAGGAAAGAATGACAGGGAGGACATTTCAAGCATGAGGAATAGCATTTTCCCACATGGAGGTGGAAAAGTTCAGGGTTTGTTCACACAATAGACAGTCACACAGAGACACCCCTACTCTGATTTGTAAATTCCTCACATAGGCATTTAGGCAGGCTCCAGACACATTTCCTTTACTACCTTGCCAGAGCAACCTTGTCCCCACAGGAACAATCTCCTCTTGCTTCCCCTTTCAAAACTTCTCAACTCTTGAATCATAATGAAATCATTTACTGCCATTGCTACTGGGAAAAAAATGTGTCAGTCTACTCCCCTGCGGTACTACTCACCAAAACTGTAACCTTCCAAGCCAAAATATCTCTCCCTGGGTACCACTCCCCAACATGTGTTGTTTTCACTTATTAGAATGTAAGTTTCTTAAGAACAGAAACGTCTTTGTTTTACATTCAGATCCCCAGTGCTTTGCACATAGTAAACACTCCATAAATGCTCATTCATTCTATTCATTTATTGAGAATCTATAACTAAGCAGTTCAACTGGGTAGTATCCTCTTCCTTTCAATCATTTCCCTCTTTTCCTTTTACTGTTTGCAACTAGATATTCATCAATTTTAGGTCATCCCCAGATGTTTCTTCTGCTGAATGCTCCTGTAGAAAGTCATACAACTGTGCTAAGTCCACTACAAATAAATATATTTAATCTCAACAGGATTCTTGGTGCTTCAAAGTAATTGGTTTATTTTCCCTGACCTATTTTCCTCTGTCATGTTCTTTACAGGGACTACCTTTTACTATCTCCTCAAGGCCCCAATGCCAGCTCTCTCAGTAGATGACCACATCTCCTACTTCATAGAGAAAATGAAGATGATCTGCTTGTTCTTTCCCCCTTTTTTTTTATTTTGGATACCTCCAATTGACAATAAATGAAAAGAAAATCATTTGTAAAGTGTCTACCAGGTGCTATCTAGGCACTG